ATTGTCTAAGTTTGGTTCATTTGTGTTTTCTAAGGAGGTGCAGTCATTACTTTTCATGCAATGATAAGACGCATTTGTTTTTGAATATTTTAGGCAATCAACAACACCCAGTGTTATCTGATTATTTCATCTATTAAAAGATTTTTCAACTGAATGTCCAGTAAATGTACCTTATCACAAGCAATATTTAGCAAAACGGTGAATCAGACATACTCCCACCCATGTTAATATCCTCCCTCACTTTTTTGGTGTCTTCCCTTCCCTTTACTTCCCAGATTAGGTGTATCATCACATGTTACCGCAACACATACAGTATGTCAGACACTTTAGTTGTAAGGAAACTCCCTATGAACACAAATGTCCATTTACACTTTAAGAAAAACTCTCTAAATGGTTATATTATCCTATGTTTAAAAGGACATTAGCTATCTTTACAGCCATCTGACATATGACTCAATGTAAGAGCCATACCATTTTTACAACTTCATAGAAATACTACCACAATTAAGTTCCCCCATTGACTTTTAAAGCCCTCGTTCCCCTGCAGATTATTGCTGTTGTGGTAAATAGACGGGGGAAATGAAGACAGGCTGTTAAAAGCTTGTGTTTTCACCGGGGAAGGTTGATTAAGATCTTGCACAAGAGGAAAGTCAATCTGATGTGCTGCTGTTTAACACCCAGCTCTTATCAGGGAGACTTTTTATTGGTTCACACATGCATGCACGCAATCACTCGTACGCATACAAAGACACAACTAGAAACTATGTCAGGACACTTGTAAGAATTAAATGAACCAAAAAGACAATAACCTGCTCTGTTCTGCTTTTGCCTCGAGGGACATTTAGTAAAGTACAGGACGTGTATTTCCTTGTTCTGTGTATATAAGAAGTTCATATATGGAGCAGGTCGATTGCATGTTTGTTCAGAGACAGTTGTCACTTGTGGATGTGTCGTTGTCACTGTAAGCAGAGACCCCAGATCAATAACCTTCACTGATAAACCAGACAATTACACAAAAACCCATTCAATTATTTTAATTACTTACCAAATAAAATCAATGTTTCAGATTCACTGCTCTCCTTCTGCTCATAAACACACTCATTAATTTGCTTTGTAATGCTTTATTGCTTTCTCTCATTATCTCATTTTGGATAGTAGTAGATTAAATGATGTTTTTTCATCATTGCATACATTTTAGGGTTGTTCCAAATGAACGTTTTACACCTGAATCTTCTGTAAAGATATTTGATTGGAGCTCAATATGTGGCATCATACATCATCCTTAAAATAAATATAGAAACCCACGTTATTTGAATAAAGCGATTCATGAGATTGAATGACTTAATGTAGTTGTTTTGTTAAATCTTCTTATTTAATGAATATAACTTACAACAAGTCAGTGCGCAAGGCAAGCAGTAGAGCAAGCTTTTTGTTTTATGTAACGCCGAGTAAGGCGTCTGGAGTTCTCGGAAATGTTTCGATCACGTGGGAAACTATCCTACCAACAACTTGGTATTCTACAAATAATAACATAAGTGTAGCTTAATCCTTATCTGCATCTGTTCAGAGATACCGGGTTTCAACAGAATGAAATGAGATGCAAAAAGAAAGCGCAGCATTCGAATGTTGATTAAGAGTTTGAGTGTGCACGTAATGAATGACGCTCTGAGGCTTTAAAACATTCAGTAAAGCCCTAATTAATGTCCCCGTTGCAACACTTTGTCTAGGAACACATTAATGCCAAAGTGCAGCAGACTGCAGAGCAGTGAAGGTGAAGGAGCGTCAGCTGACGCAGCTTTGGCCCATGTGTTGGTCTGATTGAGGTATTAGACTACGTCCACAGTAAGCCGTCTAAATCTAAAAACACTGCTTACGTGTGAAAATGATGTGCTGCCACTTCAGTGTTTTCATTTTCATATTTACATTTTTGACAGGAATCAGACAAGAGCATCCTAGAATGTGCTTTAGTAACAATACCACTAAAAATGCAAAGTGAGCTTCTTAGCTATAAGCTTGGATTTGTGCGTGTGTGCGTGTGGTCACTGGTGTAAAGGCCCTGACACACCAAGCAGTCACCAGAGAACTCGCCGACTGTTGCGTCGCCGTGTTCTCCTGCGTCTTGGCCATGTGTCACACTGGAACACACCGCAAAGACTTCAGCCGAGCACGTACGAACTGCACATGCGTGAGTGGCAATAACTCTCCTTACCAGCAGGCGGCGGTAGTGTGTATTCGTCATTCAAAAGAGGCAACAACCGGAAGACAGAGAAGAAGAACAGACTGCGTGATCTAAACAAACAACAAATAGCGTGTGCGTTCCATTTTCACTCTCGTCCATCGAAAACATGTTTCGTGCGGTACTGGAGCTATCAGCCATTGGAGTGTTGCTTGTGGAAGACATTCTCAAGCAACCGTTTCGCTTCTCATGCACTGATTCGCTAGCTGAACAGCCAATCAGAGTGATTTCTTTGTCCGACTGCCTGTGGCCGACGCACGGCCGATTCAACATGTTGAATCGGCCGTGCGTCGGCCAAGAAAGGCCAAATAATGCATGTCACGGCCGACGGTGCGGGACACACCAAATTGAGTTTGGGCGACAGGGCACGCTTCGTCGTCCGACTAACGAAAACGGCCGATTTCGGCCTGGTGTGTCAGGGCCTTAAGGGGCCTGAGGGAATCTTGTTGAAACTGGAGTATATTATGCGACCATAGCTTAATCTGCATTCCTTTTGTTTAATCAGCTCCCACACCACCGATGAGCTTCTAATGAGGTGTTGACTCTTCCCCATCACCCACCAACACACACACACACACACACACACACATACATATAGAACCCTACATACACACCTACCAGGCGGTCAGGAGACATAGAAGGGACAATGCATCCTCTGTGGTCCCTTGAGAGGCTGATAGCGTTAATTAACCGTCTTAATTCTCACCATGGGTGTTCGGGAGACGTCAACATGTGACAGAAGTCAAACCGTGTGTGTGCTCTGTGCTTACTACAGTTTAAAAAAAACGTCCTAACACACTCCGAAGCTGTCAGGAATCTGTCAATACAGCTTTCCGATAACATGGACCCTTCACAGCAGCGAGCTCAAAGGAGGAAGCGTTGAACCCCTACTGACTAGCTGGTAGCATCGGAGGAAATGCTTTTAGGAGATTTTATAGCTTCCATTTTTCTTCTAGATTCAATCAGTAGACACTGACTTATTGAATCAAGCTGAGAATAGACTGGAAATGCCTACTACGTTAAAGTAGAGTGGTTGGTTGTGAAAATGATACACACCTTGATAGAGGCATCGAATGACTGCTTCTGTGCTTTATGGACATTTGTTTTCATTAGAGTCACCCCGGTCGCTCTGCTGTGAGGACCCGGACGCCTCCGCTCATCAATAACTCTGAGTAACGGCCCGGGCTAAAGTGTGCTTTGATCACACAGATTTGAAATATTGTTTCATAGGCCGCACCCTGCTGTTTTTCCTGTGTGTCATACGCTGGTAGAGATGTAAGCGATTGACCGTATATCATCCATTTTTCTTTAAACACAGATACACACAGTTACAGGTTTGTGGTACTTACTAGTATAGCACTTCATTGGCCTCATGTCTCTCATAGCGCACCGTCTCACACATTATCCTGCAGGGACAGAGAAGAAGATGGTCAGAAAACAATAGGAGGGAAAATTAAATATGGTTGGTTAGTTTGCAATGTCACAAACATGTTATAATTGAGATGAATAGACCCATACATGACTTCAACAAGTAATAAATGCCATCGTTGAGAATTGCAGTCACATGAGTTGGATTCAGGTCAGACAAAAAATACTTGCACTTGACTTTAAAGAGGACATATTGTGCTAATTTTAAGGTTTGTATTAGTATGCATGTCTCCACTATGACATGTTCACATGCTTTAATGTTCAAAAAACTATTTTCTCATACTGCCTGTGCTGCAGCACCCCAGTCTGCTCTGATTGGTTAGCTGGCCGGCTCTGTTGTGATTGGTCCACCGCTTAGAGATGTCCCGCCCCTTAGTTTATCACTACACTAAAGTTGGAGTTTTACCCAATAGAAGCGTGAGTTTTACATAGTGATGTCACTATGTTACAGAAGCAAACAAATAAGGAGTATTTTATGCAAATATGGCATTACATTTTTCTAGATGTTTGTCATGGAAAGGCAACGTTTCTTTGCATTTGTGAGAATTATCTTTTAAACATGCTTTCAGTTTGGGTCAGAGAGTCATCTATTACATTTATTTTTTTGCAATACATTTATTTTTGCCTGTTTGATTTATTGTGTTTGTTTGTATTGGTGTTGTTGGCTATAATTTGTATTTGTATTACATTACATCAATCATTTTAATTGTTTGTTTTTGATGCAGCAGTGATGAAAGGCGAAGAGACAGTGGGTGTTTCTCAATGTCGAGTAAAGCTGCTCCAGAGCCACTATTTCAAGCATACTACGTCATTGAGTGCCGCCGAAGTACTGTTCCAATCTCCAGCATACTTGGAAATCTACAGAGCCCGGCGTACTTCGTTAGGAGAAATATCGAGGCTGCACATGAGTAGACTCCGCGGTCTTAAAATCCCCACAATGCTTTGCGCACGGACCAATTTCCCCAAATCTGTGACGGAAAATGTAAGGCGGGGCCTCTCATATGACGCACACCTGCACACTTAGCCTGTTCCACTCTTTGTTTTCCAAATGGCAGGAAGTATTCTTGCCTCGCTTCTGAAGCAAGATGCTCGGCAGACATGTGCTACCAAGCAAGCGTACTCGCGATTGAGAAACACCCAGTTACTCATCCACTGAATCATGACAGATTTTGAAGGTGCGTTTTTGGATTTGAACAATTAGCTTACAAGACTTGTTTATGCATCTGCTCCCAGAACAAGTAAACAAGTGTCATTTATCCCGGTCAGATAGACATACTTTGTGATAAGCTTTCTCTTCCTTTATTAGGCAAAAACTATCTTTGTGCTTATGCTCTCATTTGTGAAATGCTTTGTTTTCCTTAGGAACAGGATGGATCGAAAGTAATCATAATTTAAAAGTAATATCATTATGCAAACAAGGATTTAACTATGTTTTATGACTATTATTTTAGGGTAAATTATTGTTCTAATGACAGATGTCTGATGTTCAAAGCCATTTTTCCTCCCTACAAAAAAAGTAATCCTCATCAGGCTTTCCCAAAACGCCCCCAGTGAAACAAGTCAACTTTACAGACAGGCATACAGTAAACAGTAGCTGATTAAAAACATGAAAGGCTTTAAAAACAGCTGGGGGGTGGCCGTCATGTTGCAGCCCCCACCAGTGCACGACGACGACAGAAAAAGAACAACAATCCCAGCTCTAAAAAACAAGTCGCTGAGAAAAAAGGACTACAGAGGAAAAACAAGACATTCCTCCCAGACAAAATGTGGAAGAAAAAAGAACTCTAACATAATCCCATAGTTAGTGGGATCATAGCTGGCTGGGAATTGTATTGTTTTTTTTGTTAGGACAAGCAGAGTTGGCGGGAGTAGAGGATTGGTGTGTGGGACCATGGGGACATTCCTCAGGACCCAGAGGGGGGGTGAGGGGTTACTGTAGGGTGGGAGGCCTGCAAGGGGTCACACAGAGGAATGTTCCAGCTCGCGGGTCATGTACCGCTACATTGTTCCGTCGCCAGTATAATCCACATGTATGCACACAAGGCATGCTGGGAACAGACTTCTGACATGCAGTGTTTGGAAAGTCTGCGCCAGACAGAAAAGACCAGAAGGCCGGTGTGGTGACCAGAGAGCAGAGCGGTGTGTTTGGAGGGCAGAGCGGTGTGTTTGGAGACAGAACGGTGTGTTCACATCAGGGTAGTTGGAGTCAAATGTGAGGTTTTTATGTAAAGACACAAAAGTCCCTTTAGTCTTAATCCAAAAAATCTGTTTCGATAGAGATAGAAGCTCAATATGGACCTCAATTTGCCTTTTACTGTCAGAAAGAAAGTCCTGATTGAGATGAAGTTCTAACAGAAAAAAAAAAAAAAAGCGAGAGCAATAACTAGAGCTGAAACTAAATCCAAGTTTCAAAGGCTTGATTGTCATACGCACAATAGCTGCAGAATAGTTATTATATAATATAATAATAATAATAATCGTCATTGGTCTTATTGGCTGCTTTTGGTGTATTTTGTGGCGGAAGCACAGCGCCACTTACAGGCCCGGCATATGTACTACAGCGTCTCCAGCGTTTTCGTGTGGACGGACACATTTCTTGAGCTGTTTCGGTGTGGACGGAAGACTTTTTTGAAAGAGACTAAGGTTTGTTTTCGTCTCCGTGTGGACGTGGCCATAGAGAGAAGACAATCGCTGTGTGCTTTCACACCTCAACAGCTCCTTTTGGTGTTAAATTGGTGTTCATTTCATTTAGTTTAAGAGCCCATTTACACGGGAACGCAAACGCAAACGAAACGCAAACGAAACGCAAACAAACCGAATTCGATATCAAAAAAGTCTTTCGTTCACAAGGATACGGCTCAATAAACATGTCCCTTCACACGAGCCCGCTCGACCCGCTGGAGACGCTGTAGTACATATGCGGGGCCTGTAAGTGGCGCTGTACTTCCGCCACAAAATACACCAAAAGTAGCGAAGAAGACCCCCGAGCATGGTTGCCATGGTTGCATGGTTGCCCTTCTGTTTATTCTCCGTGGTGGATTTAGCAACATGTAGTTCATGTAGTTCTCCATGTCCACTTGTTGCTGATGGTTGTGGTAGAGGAGCTGTATATTTTGCACTAACATCTGTAGCATGGTCAGTAGCAGTAGCAGTAGCTACTGACCATGCTACAGCAGTGAGCAGCAGAGGTGGGGAGAGGCGGCTATACGAAAGAGAAAAGTAGCGGATACAACCCGTTTCGTTCCCGTGTAAACAGCACCTAAAGCTAAAATAAAGGTCTCTTTTAGAAGAGTTTGTGGTTTAACATATGATATCATGGAAATGTATACACATCTACATGAACCACAGACCTTGTCACTTTGTTATCCAGAAAATATATGGGCCTTACAAGCACAAACATTGTGGACTTTAACATTAATAATGCTTAAAATATGTTTTTAGCGATCAGGAAAATATACTTTTATGTGCGCTAGTCACAGTAAAAGCTGGTTTTTAATATTGTATGTCTTCTTAGCAGCATAATTGCTTTTAAGAGAGTATAATTCTTCCAGCCAACGAGTGGCTGCTGGATTAGAAAAGCAGACGACGTTCAGCAGCTCTTGGCTGGCGGCTCCCTGTTAATGCTGCACCCCTGACTACAACCGTTATGGAGCAGACACTGAGGAGTTGTCAGTGATTTAATTTGCATTTGAAATGAATGTGATTGGAATATCAAGCTCTCAATTATGGTTATTAGGTTCCGGTAATGTGTGTGCAGACACTAACCTCAGCTGGTGCTCCCGCAGGTTGGACAAGGCCTCCATCCCGTGGAGATACGAGTAGACGATCTCCAGGTCCTGAGGAACAGAGGAGAGCTGTTGTTAGACACAGAGGCTTAGAGATAAAGCTTTAAAGCCGCTACAATCAATACTTATATCCGCATTGTATGAAACGACAATGACTTTGTGTGCAACTGCTTCGATAAAACGTCTGAACAATACCAGCTCAGCAACAAAGACAGGGCTAGCAAATAACTGATGAGCATATTGGAAAATGTACCTGCTGAAAAGCAAGATATCTGATTGTAAATAGGCCACTGGTACTGCCACCATTTCCGTGTTAGAAGGTGATCATATATTACAATGTTGTGTTTACATCTGGTTGGAAGGAAAATAAAGTAGACAAAAGATCAGATTAAGACTTCACTTTTATTAATCCTTGACACTGCTGCCACTAAAGATAACATGTATTATACATTACAGATATTATGATGACATGAATGAAAGAAAAACAGCAAATTATAATATTTGTACACTTGAGACTAATACAAAAATGGGCATATCTCCTTGAGAAAGTACTTAAATATCATCAGTTATCAGCATTGCCCTTACATGTATTTCAATTGTCTAACTGCTCAATCAATCTATATTTTTAACTATTTATCTGAATCCAAATGAGCAGAAAGCTCCAACAAAAACCCACAAAAGGAAATGATTATATGGTTGTACTTGTTCTTAAAACGCTTATTATTCATTGTGCAGTGGAGTGGACACACTGGCCACTCATAGGACAGAAACCCGTTCACAGAGACAGTGACATTGATTTGTGCGACGGAGCATTGGATTAAAAAGCGATAAAGCACCTCACAGAAAAAATAAAGGAAGTACACTGCACAACTAAACCCCCCCCCCCATTCAATTACTCCATCAAATGACCCAGTGAGCGACTCTCAGATTGTTTGGCGTGAATCCAAGTCAGAGGTGAAACAAAGTGGCCCTCTCTGAGAGCTGGCAGCCAGTACAGCTACTTCACTGTGTGTGTGCACACTGGGGCACTGACTGTCTCTGTGTGTGTGTGTGTGTGTGTGTGTGTGTGTGTGTGTGTGTGTGTGTGTGTGTGTGTGTGTGTGTGTGTGTGTGTGTGTGTGTGTGTGTGTGTGTGTGTGTGTGTGTGTGTGTGTGTGTGTGTGTGTGTGTGTGTGTGTGTGTGGCTACTGGGATGCCTTTGGAGGTAGATGTGGCGACAGCACAGCGGACGGGTAACAGAGACTCTGTGTTAAAATCCCCGCCAGACACACACAGACACACACATGAAACCACACAAAATGCCCACCCTGTGTCTGGGTTGTGTTTCTAATGGAAGCAAACACAAACTAATTGAAAATTGTATTCAACTGTTTACCACAAAAGCCGAATAACGCTTCGTGTCTGCTGGTTTGGTGTCATATTAGAGGAGAGATGGCTAAAATCACACTAGTGGTAAAAGCCTCACTATTGTTAGTTTAGGCTGATTTAAAAAAGTGTGAAATGAACAATTAAAGAATGTCAATGAAATCTTGTTTTAGTCGCAAAATAATCCGTGATTCTGATGCAATATCGTATGCAATAAGACCATTTCTGATAAAACACAAATAGCATACTGAGCCTGGTTAGTTTAATATGTTTTAAAGTGTATCTTAGCATATCACACCCTACAAAGAAAGCATGAAAATCCGCCTCATGACCTTAGATGAAAACAGCAACCTAAACAAAAGAAGAAACCCCAAAATACTCTTCAACATAGTGGAAAAATACTAGATATGTAGGGTAAGTGTAGTCAAATCTGGTTCAAATAACCATGTAAATCTAATAATCAACCAACATGTGAGACATTACTACTATTTAACATCCTAATGACGCTACACGACTGACTCATGGTCCCTTGACGTCAGCACAAACTCTTCTAGTTATTTGGGTTTGGCCTGTATGGAGCGTACACAGAGAGAACGTGTCCTCAGGGCCGCCTGGACTATTACATCACAGCGATATTCTCACTAACCAGATCCTTATGTTCAGTGTCTGTGGTCAGAAACAGGAGCAGAGGAAATGTTCAGACTCATACTGCCACCTGCTGGGAGACCAGGAACTGCAGCCTGGGTTTACTGGGTTCATTTTGGATAAATGGCTCAACACAATGAAAACTCATGAGACACATTCCTGCCCAACTGCAAGTGGCAATTAAAATGACAAATCAATTTAGAAAAGGTCCAAAAGTATATGCAAACTATAGGAAAGTGAGCAATTACTCAATTATCAAGCTGGTGTTTCAGGTTTATGTTTAACTTTATGCAGGGGTAGAGATTAAGCATTTTGATTACACTCACTTTAAAGTCAGATAATCAACTAGCGACTATGTTGATATTTAGTCATATTTTAAAGCAAATGTGAAAACAAGCAATTTAAAAGGCATCCAATTGGGATTTTGTGTCCATTATGATGAGCTTTTCTTTTGCTATTTTCATATATATTTTAAATGATATTGATTAATTAGTGAGGAATACAATTAGCAAGTATATTCACAATTAATTTAACAGTGGAGACCCTCATTTACAAGCTTTTTTGGCTGCTACAAACTCTGTCGAACTGGTAATGTATTTGTATCTTAAGGAAGTCATAGAACACTATAATAAAATTAACTCACTCTCCCTAAATCTAACCTAGAGCCTATTATGCAACTGTAAAGAAAACAGCACACATACATGAAGTAAAGTATACAGTGTGATACAAAGTGATTGCTTTTTGAAGAAATTCCCTCCTTAAAGGCAGGGTAGGTAATTCACTTCAGAAACACTTTTTGTATTTTATATTCCATGGAATGGCCTACCTGCCTGTCAGCCTTCCATCTCGTGCACAAACCTATCTCGTGCCCTCATTGGTCATATGCGCGTTTGTGTGTGTTGGAGGAGGGGCTCTGTAAGGAAGTCTGAAGGAAGGGGCAGATATTTTCGGCTGCGTACTTTCAAAATTCTAGCGCACTCGAGCTGGTTTCTCCATTCTTACCTACCCTACCTAGCAGCAGGCATAATACAAATGCAGACAGAAGGTCACCACTAGATGGCAGTGTTGCAGGTTTATTTTTTTCCCTTTCCACGGTGACATCACTGTGAATAAAACAGCGCCACTCAAAAGCTGCCTCACAGGGAGAAAAGTATGCGAAACCATCAATTGTGGCTTCAGTCTCAAATATTTCAGATTGACTGTATGGAAAGAATGCAAAGGACCCCATCTTTTCCACTCCCGGGGCCAAGCATTTTCCCGTCTAATTTTCTTTCTTTTTCTCCTTCTGGCCTCTTTAAAGACGGAGCCAAACACAATCACCACAAAGTACACAGAGAGAGAACACAGGACTGTTTTAGGACATGGAACGGATTTTCAAATAACAACAAAATCGTCACAATTTAACTGAAGTTTTCAGCTTTTTTTTTTTTTTTTTCTTTTAAATGGAATTTTATTTTTTGTTTATTCCACACAGGACAGTTATTTTTAAATAAAAATGTACACTTATACTGTTTTGTTTTTTGTTTTTTTATAGTGTATGGTGGAAAGGAGCAGGGAGAAGAAAATCTTATGTTACCTGCCCCTTCAAAAAACTAAATTACCATAAAAAAGTCAAATAAAAGCAATATTCTTTACAACTACTCTTATTTCAAGCCACTTAAAAAAACAATTCCTTATATGGACATCAACTCGCATCATCTCACAGCTGATTGTCATGTTTTTCCCTCTTAGTAGAGAGATCAAAAGCAGAGGGTAAATGCTTTCAACATCACTGCCTGCTCCATGTTCATTCACATCTTTCGCTGAGAGCGGTACCAACAGCTTCCCATAGAACACAAACAGGAAGTGAAGCGGGGAGCTGAAACTAGGACATGCTGATGAAGGCTGAAATTGTGCTCATTGTGTGTGTGTGCTGAATAAAGACAAAGCTTGTTCATTTTTTTAAACACTGCTTGCTTTAGGGGGGGGGGGGGGGGGGGGGGGGGGGGGGGGGTAGCTCAAACTCCCAGGCTAAACCAGTAACACCATCTAATCCGTCCTCCATCTTTCTCCAAACTAATCCTTCCAGGAACACAGGTGGCCCCCTCTGATGGAAAAACATACCGAGATGCTGCTCTTGATAAAACCTTGTGGACACTTCAAAGCTGTTTGTGCAAAACTGCGAAAGACATTCCTTGCATACCACTTACATACTGTCAACCGTCTTTGTAAGTTTCCCCGGTTATTCCCTCGATGCAACACAACATGTCATCGCTTTACACGTGTACTCGGGACACAGATGGTAGCAGTGCAATTCAGCCAAACAAGTGAAGGCATTTCCTCTCCAGTTTACAAATGAAAAAGCAGACCCTGTCTTCTTCTGTTTGGGGCACGAAAACACAACAGACGTACTCCCTTTTCCAACCATTATGTTAGGGCCCCCGGAGGGAGCCGTGTTGGGCCCACTGCCAGTCTGTTGAGTGGCAAAGCATTCAGTGGGTAAAGAAAGGTCAAGGAAGTTGTAAAGTTTTCCTGCAAGTTGTTTAATGAGACTTCTGAGAAATCAGAAGAGCTTCTGGTTTCGGTGTAAACATATTCAGTTTCACATGGAGAAAAAGATAAGTGAGCCGAAATAATACAAAAATAAATGAATGAACATTGACAAGTGTCAGAGTCTCTTTAAGAATTACAATATGTTCAACACTGTGCATGGTACCGTAGATGCTAATGCTTAGGATTAGCATGGGGTAAATAGGGCTGCAACTAACTTATTGTTTTCATAATCAAGTCATTTGCCGATTATTTTCTTGATAAGTCCGTTAAGCGGTTAATATATGAAATGGGAAAGCATTGCAATCACAATTCTTAATAAGCCAATGCGATGTTTTCAATTAGCTGTTATCTGACCTATGTTCTTAACCTTTAAATACTTGATATATTCCCATATATGACAAAGAGAAACAGCAAATAGAAGTGTTTGAGAACGTATACATTGATTCATATATAATAAAATCAGCTGCCAGATATCTTTGAGTTAACCCTTGTGTTGTGTTCGAAAGCTG